CACATGGCAAAAGCCAGTGTTAAATGCAACTGCATTATCTGTAAAAGCTTTGATGAAGCCTTGCTTGTTCTTCTGGCGATACAGGCGCAAGATAAATGCCTCCTGACAGGACTCGATGATTCTATGTGCTTTGTATACCAAAATGCCTGGCAAAAGAAAAGGTTTTCAGGTTACAAGAAAAGTAAAGGTCCTATTTTGTGTAGATTTTTCCTCAAAACTGCCTTATTCTTATAACATTTATTTTCTTAAATAAGGTACCTTAGGAATTTAAATATTTGAAAGTGATGGTTGAACAAAATTTCCAGGGTTCAATCCAAGTGATTCTTCAGTCTCAGCACCATGGAATCCCCAGATAACAGAACTAGGATAATAATGAATCTTTAGGAAAAGAAACCTTGTGCTTGAGTGGAAGGACTTATTAGTGTAGAATATTCTTTACTGCTAAGGCAAAACTTTAACTTCAGCCTTTTAAGAGGAGTAAAAGCAAATGCAAGACATTGCATGCTATTACAACAAAGCAAGTTTGATATCTTCAAGACTGTGATATTTCAATTGTTTTGTTAGAGAAGTTCTGGAATTACAGACTTGTCAAATAGTTTTCATTAGTCACAGTTGAACTGTTTGCATAAAGAACTTCAGAGAAGATTTATTTTGCTTCCCTCCCATTCTGCTACTCATATCTACACTTAAGGACAAAGAATACCATCAGCTGTATGAACACACTACCCATTTTCTGGCTATAGGTGTTAGGAAAAGATGATTTAATGTGCACAGTTTAATACAGAGAAGTGAACCAATAGTTTATCTACACGAAGCATTTGAGGTGAATACTTCTGTGATTTACACTTCGATTAGCCAAGACCTGTTAAAAACAAGGCTTATCTTTTCTCAGGCATATTGTCTTAAATAGCACATGACATTTTTTCACTGTCACCCTAGTGAAGTGAGTCCTATGTGGTACTTTTATCTGCTTCCAGCTTCTGGTGAAATAATAAATGACTTCTTAAAATGGAAGCAAACATGACATGTTTTACTTTGTACCTACATATGATGGGAAACTAGAGTGTATTTAACTTCTGTAAAAAATTTCTTCAACTCAGAACCCAGCCACTGATTTTACGATGCCTTTGTTTTGTAAATGAAAAAGCATGTGAAAGTCTTCCATATAACTGCTAGCCATTCACTATCAAGTAATGGAATAATCCACTAAAAGGTATTTTTCTAAGTATTCTTACATCTCTCCTCTGAGCAACTTTTTCAGGACGTAATAATGATCAGACTCATTTGTGAACATCTTCCTGTTTGTAAAGAGATGACTCTGAAAGACTACTGATTTTATCATAATATCTTTCTACTCTTAGTCAATATTTATCTGCTCATGAAGTGAGTTCATACTGCTGTGTAAGCCCTGGAGCTTACTTGCAACAGTTTTACTATGATATTAAGCACATAACTTCTGTTTGGCCAAAACCACCAGGAATAATTACTCTGTACTGCAGTGATATCTTCATTAGCTGAATTTGAGTTCATCATACGTTAATTCACATGTGATTCTGTACTGATTTTATGAACATTATTTATAATGCCTGGAAACACTTTACTCTGGGTTTTTTTTGCTATTAAGAAATTACTACAAGTTTTTGTCGTACAGTTTCACACACCGATGATCTGTTTCCAACGGAACCGGTGTTACCCGAGTATTAGACAAAGCACCAAGTGGTTCAAAGCTGCTGTCAGACTGACCTCTAGTGGGTATGCAAAAACGGTAACAACTGTCACTTCAGGACACGGCTATTTTCTAAATCTTTAGTGTATTTCTTTTCATACTAGCTAAATCTAAGAGTGTGGGATTTTTTTCATTTTTTTTTCTTCTTTGGAAGGACAGAAAAGTAGAGAGGAAGGAGTCAAGGAGAAGAGAAACTGAAGTAGGTTGCCCAGAAAATGTGTTCACTTCTTTTTTTAAACAGAGAAATACCAGAATTGAGAAATCTGGTGTCCTTTAGTTCTAGCAGAAAATTCTTCAAAATGTTTTATATAGTAAAACTTGTCATACATTGAATGAAAAGGAGAGGGATGCATCAGAAATATTCTTCTAAGCATTCAATATTCAGTTATGTTTAGCCATTAAGATGCTAACATTTAGATAACAATAAATTGTATTTTTGTTGTATTGTTCTGTCATATTCCTGACTCTTAGGTATTTATTTTACTAACTCTCCAGCCTGTAACAGGGTTTCCAGCTTATAAGAGAACAGACAGTGGTGGCTGGGGAGAAGAGAACAGAACATGAGTAGGAAAAGGTAACTGTAACATCTTTCACATATAACTTCTACATAACAACAACAAAGGTCACAAAGGTTTCCAAAATCTTTACAGTGACAGTAACAGCACTATTTCATAATACTGCTATTTAGATAGTGTCCAAGGTGTGTCAAGACCGAGATTAGTAAGGTATTGCTATTTTTTGATGAAAAATGTGATTAGGAGTAATCTGGCAATGCAAAAAGGTAGTTTGCATGGTTGATAAAACATGACATCTTAAATCAGTTTAATCATAGGCCAGTGTCCTAGAGACCACAGGACACTATTTCACCAAGTACAATCAATTATTCTTTGAAAGTCAGTCTGAATATTATATTTATTATGTCAATGGCATGGTTTTACTGCTGATTTGTTCCATCACAGAAAGCCCTACAAATGCATGATCCATTATCTAAAAATAATGTGGATATTTTCAAATGGTATGGTTAAATAAGGCAAACAAAGTTGGAGCAATTTATTAAAAAACATAATGGAAGAACTATATGTTTGTTCCTTTTACCTCAGTCTTTCTGGAAGAAAAGGAATAAATCTTCAATGTCAGTATTGGTTATGTGAACTCTTCATAATGAATTAAGCTTTAGAGTATTTTCACACAGACAGCCTTACCTTTATTTCATTGAACTCTTACCAGTAATGAGATTTGCAGGAATCCTGTCAGTGAGAAAATCAACCACAAGGATTCGACTTGTTGCAAAGATGACTCCTCCTTGTGTGTAAAATTCATATCGAGTATTATTTGCAATTTCATTGGTAACACGCCGAGGAAGATGAACAACTCCATCTGACCTCAGCTGATCAATAAAATACTCCTAAACCAAATACAATAAAAATACAAGACATCATTATTGTAACTAATTAAATGGATGCAAAACCCCCTTAATTATACATAGTTTTAATTTTGAGAGGCTGTCAAAAACTAATTAGGAGCATGACAGCATAATGTACTACCTAAGGAAGCCAGAATTACCATTTTTTTCTTCTAAGAATGAATAAACTCATCCAGGTGATTTAAAAATCTATGTATTTTCAGTAGAACCTAGACAATACTTAGTCAAATATGAACAACTGTCACTCAAAAAGGTTTACATTTTCTTATATTTTAATAGCTCTTTCCGAGAGTAGGCAATTCTGACTTAAGAGCAGAAAACTGGGAAGAGATAGTCTTTTAAACCACTCACCTGCTATCAAAGACAACTACAGCAAACAGGTCACATAAAGCAAGCTGAAGCTTATAAACTACAGCTGTGATATTTATGGTGACTTATTTTATGATGGTGACTACAGAAAACCCCCACAACATCAATTCCCTGACGGTGGGAAATGTCTCTGGTTCCAGGGAAACGGCAGCATTTTCTATACAAGCAGGGACAAACGTGTCAACAAGTTTCACCCCCTTCTGCTCACTAGCTACATTAAAGTTATAAATCTCTGCTTATTTTAGCTCGTCATTATCTAGACTTCATTGCGCTGCGTGATGCATCAAATCGACCCCCGATTTGATGCTGAACGGGGCTGGTGAGCCAGCCGTGCGAGCCAGGGGGAGAGCACTGATGCCAATCCAATAGGCATGCTCAGCAGATGTCCAAGGCTCTGGTTTATGTCCAGTGATACTAAAGGTTGTTTATAAAGGCAAGACATTATTGTTTTGAGTGTTTGGCACTGCCTCTCATTTTTTAAAAAGTTGAGAGGAACAGATCTGATGAGGTTTCCAGCTATTTTGTCTCAGTTACTGGAGCAGGCTGTCAGAAATCTGTTTTCTGACAGTGATCTTGCACTTGTTTTACTTCCCAGCAAGAGCAGAGGCCGGGGCAGAGCCTGCCCTGCCCGCCAGCCCGCAACCCGGCCTGAGGAGCCCCTCGGCCTCCC